GGGGGGGGGGGGGGGAGAATATTCTATAATATAAGAGAAAGAAGAACCAAATTCATTTTAAATCTAGATGGAATTCTGGTTCAAAAAATAAAGACTTTAATAGGCATTCTTGGGGAAATTTGATATAGACTGGGTATTAAATGATTTTAAGGGATTACTATTCATACTAGTATGGTGATAACTAGTGTGTTTAGGTAGGCAAATATCTTTATCTTAGGAGATGAGTGTTGAAGTATTTAGGGGGAAGTGTCTGCAATTTACTTTCTTACACTGTGACAAATATATACATATGTATATATGGTGTGTGTATGTATGTGTGTTCATATATGTATCTATATAAAGGGATAAAGCAAAATATTATCAATTGTTGACTTTAGTTAAAGAATATATGGATAATCATCATACTATTCTTTCAGCTATTCTATATGTTTGAAATTTCTTAATTAAAAGCTGGGGGAAATTTTTTCAGAGAAAGGGAGAGGTTCAGGAGGAAGGGAGAGGGAAAGAGAGATAAAAACATCAATGATGACAGAGAATCATTGATCGGCTGCCTCCTGTACACCCCCCACTGGGGATTGAGCCCTCAACCAGGCATGTGCCCTTGACTGGAATAGAACCTAGGACCCTTCAATCCACAGGCCACCTCAAAGCTAGGGGAAATTTTTGAACTTTAGGCAGCAAGAAATATTCAGCAAAACTGATCTTTTTAAATAAAACTTTATAATGGAAGTTCAAGTATATACAAAAGTAGAGAGACTAGAACCCCTTATAACCATCACCCAGCAGTAACAGGTTTCAACTCGTGACCAATCTCGTTTCATTTATTCCTCACCACTCTGCCCTTTCCCCAGGTTATTTTTGAGACAAGTCCAAATGTCATACATTTTCATTCATACATGTTTCAATGTTTTGTCCTTAGGATATATTCTATTAAGAATATTCAAACAGCCCAGCCAGAGTGGTTCAGTGGTTGAGCATCAACCCATGAACCAGGAGGTCATGGTTTGATTCCGGTCAAGGCACATGGGTTACAGGCTTGATCCCCAGTGTGGGGCATGCAGGAGGCAGCTAATCAATGATTCTCTCTCATCATTGATGTTTCTATCTCTCTCTCCCTCTCCCCTCCTCTCTTTGAAATCAATAAAAATGTATTTTTCTAAAAAAGAATATTCAGACAAATTACTGTGTTAAAGTCCCATAAAGAAATGGTGTGCTAACGCCACCAACTCAACAGACAAGATCATTTATTTTGTTTTCGATTTTAGGGATTTTCATCCTTCATTTTATTTAAAAGTTTTGAGAAAAATTGAGATAGTTCCAAAGTAAAAAACAACAACACACAAACAAAACAAAGCAAAGTATACGTAGAGAAGTCTAGCTTCTGCTTCTCCCCTTCCATACTGTCCCTTGTGCCTGATAGGGTCACACGGGAATCCTACTTATGGGTAACTGTTCTTCAAAATGCTCTGCTGTAATCCTTCCATTTGAGAAAACATAAATACACACACACACACACGTTTTTGGAAGTAAATAATAGCATATAATATGTACCACTTCACCCACTTTTCCTTTTCTCATGTGACACTATATCCTGGAGATCACTCCACAGTTGTATCCAGAAATATTCTGCCTTCCTTTTTACAGCTTATAACACTTCATTGTGTGGGTGTAGAGTTTATTTAACCGGCTCTCTATTGATGGACATTTGGCTTGCTTCCAGTTGAGTGAAGATAATCTTTTAAGTCATAGTAACAACAACATCAAATGGGCAAGTTTTGAAATGAGTATTTGTCATTTCTCCAATGCTCTCCAACTTACAGAAGAAAGAAAAGACATGAAACAACCCCAGATTCCAGCCGGCAGTCACATGATAAGAAAAATAAATCGCAGGACGGATCTAAGCTAAGAAAAGCACGGTCACTGGTAAGTATTGCTTTCCAAAGATTCCCCACCAAAGCCATAACCAGTTTGGCTCAGTGGATAGAGCATCAACCTGAGGCCTGAAGGGTCCCGGGCTCGATTTCAGTCAAGGGCCCGTACCTTGGTTGCAGGTTCCATAGCCCTGGTCTCAGTATGTGCAGGAGGCAACCAATTGATGTGTCTCTCACATTGATGTTTCACTCTCTCTAAAAAAAATCAATGGAAAAATATCCTCAGAGAGGATTAACAAAACAAACTAACAAAAATTCCCCACCATAATGTTAATGAAAAGCGCTGGGTCTCTAATCCTGTTTGTGAAACTGAATTTGTTCTTTTTAAATTAGAATCGAGTGGTGATTTAAATCCTGGTCTCTGGAGGGGGACTGACAAGCTGTGTAACCTTAAAGATGCCCTTTGTTTAATCTCTCTGAGCCCTTGTTTTCTCCTCTGTTTAAAACAAAACACAAAGACTAGATGAACTGATGTGTATGAACCTGCTTTGAGAACTATACAATATAAAGGGAACATTCTTATCATTTAGGTTTTCCTTCTGCTTGGAGTCCTTTGGTGGGGGTGCTATAGAAATTTCTCTACAGAAATCACTTCTCTATAGAGTGAAGGTTCCACTTACCTAAGAAAAAGGTACACTTTCCTGCTACCAGTGGAGTATGATCATAACAGTGTATTTCAAGTAACTGCAGAAAAAGTGAATTCAGAACTTTTCTCTCCCTAATGAAAAATATAGCTATTTGACAACCTAATAAAGTCAGTAATTGTGTCGAGTACACATTATCATTTCATAGCAGTGTTGTCCAAACTGGTTCTATGGCCCCAGTGGATCCCTTTGAGCACATGAGTCTTTGGTGCAAGGTAAAAGGGGATAAAGGTGGAATCAAAAGTTCACATTATTAGTAAAGATTTAGAAAAAAAGCAGCTGAGGATACACACTGAAGGAAAATGAATATAAAATGGGTGTCAATTGGGAGGAGAAAAGGCAGGTACTCGTGAGTAAATCACTTTGATAGCTCTGCTTTAAAGCCCTATTACTTTCTGTTTAAATTTATTTTCAAGTGTTATTATATTCAAAAAAGGGAGAGAGAGAGATGAGCTTTCTAAAATAGGGCTATTTGTATTCTGAGGGATCAATTTTGTTGGGTTGGATGAGGCTTATCACAGGCAGATGTGCAAATGCCCAAGGGAATGGGGATGCTTAAAGCAGAGCAGTAAAATTGTCAGTGAAAACCATTAATCGAAAAAAATAACTTTATGAGGCTTATCACCCAGGCCATTCAGGCATGCTTCTGTCTGGTTTCCCGGCCCCTCCTAAGCCAGGAGTAGAAGAGAAATCTGGGGGAGATGAGGGAATTGAAGGCCTATAAAAGTTGATGGTGATGTATGCTTACAAATTATCAGCACAGTCAAACATTTCTCTGGCTTAAGAAGCAAAAGAACAACAACAAAAACCAAGGGCTAGACAGAAGCCTTCTCCGTGGGCTTTTGACATTAACCATCTGTCACATACTAGCAGGGCTTGCTTAAGTTGAAATATTTGTTATAAATTATAAACTTTAAAAGTTGCACTGCTAATTAAAGCCCAAAGGGAAACCAGGACAAATTAAACAATGATAAAGAACAATTATGCTATCTATATATATAAAAGCCTAAGCAACCATCACAACCGAATGAATGACCGAACAGGCTGTGTGGGGTACTAGGCCAGCATGGGAGTTAATGAGGGGCAACCAAACGACTGAGCAGCAGGCTGCATAGGGTGACCAGGCCGGCAGGGGGTTTAGTGAGGGACAACCAAACGACCCAGCAGCAGACTGCAAGGGGCCATCAGGCCAGCTGGGGGGGCAGTTGGGGGTGACCAGACCAGCAGGGAGGGCAGTTGGG